GCGGTGACTTACCAAGTGCATCCCGCCTGCAGGCTCCCTCTGACTTCTTGTTCCCGCTGGGGTTGGAGGGAAGGCTGCCACAGGTGTTTATGGGATTCCAGAAGGGAGAAGGTGAGCTTGTGAGGAAACCGGGAGGGAGGCCGGACACTCACGGGTGTGACTTCCCTCAGGTGCCCCGGAAGGCGGCCCTGCAAAAGGGCAGGAGACGATGACCGTCCTAAGGCCAAGGCGGGGCAAGCAGCTGCTGTTCCTGGGCATCATGACAGTCACGGTGGCGGTCATCTTCCTGCTGTTCTACGCTCTCCTCTGGAAGGCCGGCAACCTCGTGGACTCGCCCAACCTCAGAATCGGCTTCTACAACTTCTGCCTGTGGAACGAGGGCACCGGCTCCCTCCAGTGCCGCCAGTTCCCTGAGCTAGAGGCCCTGGGGGTGCCCCGGGTCGGCCTGGCCCTGGCCAGGCTCGGTGTGTACGGGGCCCTGGTCTTCACTCTCTTCGTCCCCCTGCCCCTCTTCCTGGCCTGGTGCAACAGTAACGAGGCAGAGTGGCGGCTGGCGGGGGGCTTCCTGGCGACGTCCTCCATGCTGCTGGCCAGCGGCCTGGGCCTCTTCCTCACCTACACATGGAAGTGGATCCGGCTCTCCCTCCTGGAGCCTGGGTTTCTGGCTCTGGGCACTGCCCAGGCCTTACTCCTCCTCTTGCTTATGGCCATGTGTGTGTTCCCTCAGAGAGCAGAGGACAAGGTCAAGCTTGACAGCTGCTAGTTCCGTCGAGAGGCTTACGATGGCAAGAGTTCAGTTTGAACTGTGCTCAGAGAAGGTGCCAGAAAACTCATGGGCTGGCATGTCTTCTCAGCCTGTTTCATAGCAAATGCCGGCCTCAAGCTCTGGCAGACGGGACCCACCACAGAGGAGGTGGGGGTACCCAGTGCCGAGAAGGCCAAGGGTGCAGCAGTGGCAGCCGCGGTACCTGCGGCTTGTTAGCATGGTGCTGTCCATCCTTTGGGACTTCCGAGGTTCCCAAGGACACACCACAAAAAGCTCATTGTCACGAGAACTCCTTTAACTGACATAAGGATTCCCATCACGAGGCCTGATTTCTAGGATAATTAGCCACATGTCACACTGGAACCGAGTGAAGGTTCATGGCAACAAAGGGGGGACGTTATGAGAGAGTGCACCTCAGCCTCCCTGGGGCCCTGGTTAGCAGGCTCCCCGTCCCCACGGTGGGTGTGAAGTGACGAGCCCGTCTCCCAAAGGCCCACGAGTGATCCCTGAGGGAGTCACTAAAGACAGAACACGTGGGCACAAAGACAAGCCTTGGTGGCTTTGAAGGTTCTCCCGAAAAGTCTCCCAGACCTGAAGCCAGACAGAACAGGGGCGTCAGCTGGCAAATCGTTCCTAGCATGTGACCTGGGAGTTGGGAACACAAAACGCCGAATCCCTGGGCAGGAGGAAGGTGAAAAGAACTGAGGGGTTCCATACAGATGTCGAGGCCTTCACTTCTCCACCCAGAATTGGAAAGGACATAAACACAGCTCACACTCTGGGGAACTGTTTGTATTTTTCAGCACCTATATATTGGAAAACCTATACAGCAAATGACTGCCTTATTCTGTGCCTGTCAAAAACCACACTGAATAGAGTCAGAAACACGGACTCCGGTGTGATCTTGTCTTTAGGGTCTTCGCAGGGCTCCCGTCCCACTGGCGCTTTACAACTGCCCAGGGACTGAGGCTGAGCCGCCAAGTGGCAGGACGGTGGCCGCCTGGGGGAGGGGGGCTTCCGATCTGCACACGGAGTTTCAAGATCCCACACAGAGCAGAGCACTGTGGGCGGGGCACCTGCCGGGGGTGGGGGTGGGGGGCTGTGCGAGTGACAGGAACTGCGTTCAGAACAGCCGTCCTCCTTAGGGAGAGATCGGGGGGACCAGACGGTGGGGATTCCGGTGCACTTAGCAGCAATGCCTCTTTTTCGCTGAAAATTATTAAGTTGGCTCTTCGGTTCACTAAGTTTGGCCACCATGTCCCCACCTTCCCTGGACCTGGAAGGCCAATAAAACCACGGCCTCCGAGTGGAGAAGGCACAGCGCAGGGAGAAATTCTGACGGAAGCGCATTTGGACTCCTCACTTGCACACACTCAACAGGGCAGCTCCCCAAGGAGGTGACTACCTGCCAGGGAGGAGCGGACGAGGGGAGGAGCGGGAGCAGCTGGCAGGCCCCGGGCGGGAGGGGAGGCCGGCTTCCTCCAGCGCTCTGGGTAGAAAGTCCTGGGAAGCCTGTCCGTTCAGCTGAAAAATATTTCCCTGACGTATTTTAACATGTCCTCGTCCTCCTCGGGGCTTCTGCTGCGGGCAGAGTCAGACCCCGCGGGCCCCTGAGGGCTGTGGCCTGGAGGAAGGGCGTCTTTCTCATTGTCCTCGTCCTCACTTCTGCTCCCAGGAGAGCTCGGTGACGGTGACAAAGCGGAGTGGGCCCGGGACAGCTCCGGCTTATCAGCACCAGCCGGAGTCGGTGGCTCCAAGGGCTGTTCCTGTTTCCGGGCCTGCCAGGTAGGAGAAATGAGGAGCAAAACAGACATCGTGCTATTTCCCGAATGAAATAACCGCCGGCGACACAGAACACATGCGGAAGCCACTGTGAAGCATGTGACCGGCTCGAGCACCGCCCCAAATCAGAGCCTCCCCCTCTCCATCCCCCCACTCCCCGGCCACCCCTCACAGCTCCCGAAGAAGTCAAGACCCACTTGGGAGAGAGGCGGGCAGGGGCCTGAGGAATGGCAGAGTGGAAAAGAAAAATAGGAAAAGCGCATCTGGAAAGGTGGGGGTGACAGAACGGAAGGACCACGGGTACAAAACTTGAGTGTGGGCCTACGTTCTGTCACTTATCGGCTGTGTAACTATGGGAAAGTCCCTGGGTGTTAATATCTTCATCTGTAAAATGGACAGTAATACCTGCAATCACTATCACCGGGTTATTGCAAGGATTAAATGAGGCAACAACCTAGGAAAGCACCTGGTCAACTAGAAAGTACTCCACAACACTAAGGTGGCAGTTACTATTCGCTTCAAAAGCCAGGAGACTTGGGTGGCATTCGGCTGAGAAGTCACCTCACCCACCTGAGACCCTTCAGAGGACGTAAGAGGACGTCCCCTCCACATACCACACACGGTCACCCAGAGAGAGCTGCTCTCCCACCCACGACCACTCCGTCCCCAGGTGTCCAGCCCCAAACATTCAGTGACACCGGACATGGGGAGAGGCCAAGGGGAGCACGAGAAGCGCTAGACAAGGGACAGCTGGACGAAGGGGGATGATGACAGGGTTCCCCAAGGCCGACTGAGAATGCAGGGCGTCTCCTTTATTGCCATTAACCAAGGGCCCGGTCCGGTTTCTGGTCGTGAGAGTAAGAAGAGACACAGTGGCCTTTACCTCAATCAGTATCCCCAGGGCGACATCCACCATTTCGGCCTCACTCATGCAGTACACAGTCCTCGTGGCAGGAAGTCTGAAAGGAAGGCATGATGCTACAGATGGGGACAGATGGGTCTCGGGTCTCCGGTCTCACGAGGGGGGCAGAAAATGAGGGCAAGAGTCCCATTCCCAGGCCTCCCGATTTGCCACGCGCACCTCTGTGGGGCTGAAACCACCCCCCCCCACCTCACCTTCTGCCCGCACCGCAAGACTCAGCGCCAGCAACTGTGACGCCTCCAAACCCTCCCTCCCTCCTCATTCCCCAGGACCCCGACCGGAAGTTGTCCCACCTTGCGGCGGCAGCCCTTGGCATTGCTGCCGATGTCCTCGCTTTCGGGGTCTTCACGGGCACCTGTCTCTTCTCGGCCACCTGGGCTGTCATCCATGTGGGAAGGACCCTCTTTTTATCCCCAGATTTGAAGGTTTCCATCTCTCTTTTCTCTCATGAAGGAAGACGAGTCAGGGCCCAGGCTTAATGACTTGCTTTTCTAATTCAGGATGGGGAACCCCACTCTCATCCGACCGGGAACTTTAGGTCTGTTTGTCCTGCATGGGAGTCACGCTTGAAATCCTACAAAGAACAAAGTCCAGTGAGCTCTAATAAGCTGAGATACTTCCAGTCACCAGCTGAAATTACTGGTCAGGACAGGCCAGAGGTGGACAGCAGGCCCCAGGAGACTAAGATGGCCCATTCCCCTTCTCCCTGCCATCCAAGATGCTCGCTGTCCCCAGGGTGCCTAGCCTACCCTGAAAATCTCTCATGATCTCTCCCTCATCTCCCCAACTCCAGACTTCTCATTTCCTCTACCTTAGTGTGGTTACAGACAACTCCAAGACCATTTTGAGTCCCCGCAAGGTTTAAATGGCCAACACTCCCTCCCTTAATCCAAAAATACTTCTGGGTGGCCACATTTTAGCCAGAAGTAGGGATTAGGAACCACAACCGGACCTGCTCCAGGAAGGAGGTAATCCAGAAGGTGCCCTGACAGCCTGTCTCATCTAACCTGGTCTCTCTTCTCCCCACCCCCCACTTACCACCGCCACAGCCCCTCCCCCTACAGCTCAGTCCCCACCCAGGGACTCGGGGTGCAAGTCTCACCCTTCCACCTGGCAGTCCACTCTGAAAGCAGTCCAGCTCCGCCTACGGAGGCTCTTACTGGAGCAGAGGTTTGCCTAGAAAAGGGTCAACCAGGAATAAGCGATCCCTCTCTGAATCACAGTCATTTATTGCTCATCTTAGAAGACTGTTTACAACTTAAGAAAAAAAAATGAGCATGACGTGATCCTAACCTGTCCGGCCAGAGGGCAGAGCTTGGCCAGTGTACCTGGTTGCTGTCAAAATTCAGGCAGTGATGATAGCCGACTGTTCCCACAACTACCCGAGCCCTGCTAACCGTCAGGCGCAGACACAGCCCCGCAGTCAGGCACACCGACATTTATTCCACCCGCAGGCAGATATTATCAAGCCCATTTTTACAAACGAGGAACTGACAGCAATGTGCCCAAGGTTCCAAAAAAAAAAACAAAAACAAAAACGGAACGGCCAGCCAGTCCTCGCAGCCGGGTGCTGCAGACCGAACCCTGTGCCTAAGGGCCGCCGCGCTACCGGGGCTCCGAGAAGCGCAGAGCCCGCGCTACCTGGGTGAAACCCGGCCCCGCCGGCTCGTGACGTGCCCGACGCTCCCCAAGCAAGGCCCGCCCCGCTCTCGGGGACCCTGCGCCACCGGGGCCGCGGCGAGACGCGTGCCAACCTGCGGGGGACGAGGGCGGAGCGGAAGCACGCGGACAGCCACGTGAGGCCTCGCCGGCCGCGGAAACGGCCGTGACCGTCTCCTCCGGGCCCGCAGGCTCGCGGCCCCGTCACTCGGGATACGGCGGGGCGGAGCCGAGTCCCGGACCACGCGCCCCTCCGGCCCGGCCCTCCAGCCTCCCGGGCCCGCGCGCTGCTCTCGGCTTCCGGGGCGGGCCCGAGAGGCGGCGCGGGGCGGCTGCGCGGACCCACACCCCACCCACACCTGGCAGGCCGGAGGGACCCGGCTCGGCCCCGCGCGCACCTCCTCCGCCCCGCGCGGCCTCGCCACTTCCGGCCCCCGGCGCGCCCCCTGCAGGCAGCCCGCGCAGTCGGCGTCCCCGTCTCCAGCCCGAGCGGGAGTCGCCAGCCGTCCCGGGGCCGCGACACTCTCTCCTTGACCCGGCTCTCGCTCTCGTTGGGCTCCTCTGAACCCTCATCTAGGCCCTGCCTCTGGAGCTTCCCTGCTCCTCTCTGCATTGTCCAATTTTCGCAAGCATCCTACCAAGTCATTTTAGCCAGGAGCCCCACCCTCCAATCCTGATCGCCCTCAAATTTGGGCGGGCTCCTCATTTTTCACCATTCCCCAGGTAATGTCGGATCGCCTAGATTGCCTTCAGCAGGAATCCTGGTTGCCGAGTTTAGCGAGTTCCAACCCTTCCCCTCCCCCCACCTCCCACGCCCCCTTTACCTTTGGTGATTCCTCTTAGCAGCTTTCCATCCACTCTTTGGCTATAAAGTCCCTTTCCCTCTTGTATTCAGAGTTAAGCCTGATGGCTCTCCCTTACTATAAAACCCAATTGTAATACACACCCTTGAATAAAGTCCGCCATTAAGTTTTTAACAAGTGTCAGTAATTTTCTATTTAATAGAATATTTTTTCTTTAACAGTCCCCAAACATGGCTCCAATTGAGGTCTGCTAGTCGGATTTTAATATTAGAGTGTCAATTCCTGAGCCCCCAAATCAGAAATTAGGGTGAGGGGAGGAGGGCCTGCATTTTTTTAAGGCTCAGGATTCCCACAGGGACCAAGTCCAACTCTCGCTGCTGGGGTGTAGGCATCCCAGAAGGAGGGCGTACAGGGTGAGACCCTCAGGTGTAGGAAAAGAAATTATCTTAAAGTAAGTAGGTGTCACTAACACTTAACATTCAGATTGGTGGCCAGGTGTTCCCTTGTCCAACCCGGCAGCTCCACAAAGCTTCCCAGGAGTCCCCAGTGTTTGCGTTCAGCCTAATGCGAGCACTGTGGTGGACACGTGGAGCTAGCATCTAGCTTTAATTAAAAATCACACTCAGTTTGGGGCCCCTGGGTGGCTCAGTTAAGCATCAGACTTCGCTCAGGTCATGATCTCAGGGTTCCATGAGTTCAAGCCCCGGGCGGGGCTGACCTCCCTCCCCTCCCTTCTCTGTCTCTCTCCCTCCCCCTCACTGCCCTCCTCTGCCCCTTGCTCACTTGTGCCTTCTCTCTCTCAAAAACAAAGTCACACTCAGGGCTACCTGGGTGGCTCAGTCAGTTGGTTTCAACTCAGGTCATGATCTCACTGTTTCATGGGGTAGAGCCCCAGATAGGTTTCTGCGCATGCTTGGGATTCTCTCTCTCTCCCTGCCCCTCCTTCACTCGTACTATCTCTGTCCCTCTCAAAATAAACTTAAAAAAAAATTTTTTTTTTTAAAATCACAGCATACAGCAGCCTCAAAGAGGCCAGCAAAGAGACCCCAGGTCGCAGATGTGACAGACATGACAAAAACACAGAGGAAACTTCTCCCACCAGAGGAACCTTCTTCTACTGCATGAGGTAAAAGGATGATTATAACTGCCCATCTGGCCCCAAAATATGAAATTATCAAGACACCATCTGCAATGTGATTTGCAACAGATCCGCCAATGGAATAATTACCCTCCGCAGGCCAGAGGTGCACAACTGTGGACCTTGATCCGAAGCTTGGAAACTCCCTACCCTGAAGATCTCTACTAAGTTGTGTGGCGCTTTTGGTTTCTCTAAAGCACGTTCACCTGCTGGGCCAGGAGAGTTTAACTCAATCAAGGCTTGAAGAGATAAACCAATGGTTTCAAGTCACAAAACCAACCAGTCCAGCATCGAGGTCACCTGGCTGCAGGCTGTACCCGGACTCTGCCTGCAGTCTTTCCAGGGCGACCACACCAGGGGCAGGACCCACCTCTCTGGTTCCTCAGAAGTATTAGAACCACTGACCTCCAGGGTCCTCTGCTCTCAAGCTGGGAGCCAGAACAAACCCAAGTCTAACTGGTGAAGCGTCATTTTTTTTGTGTGTGAATGAAAGAAAATACTTATCAGCGGAACCACTCCCCCCATATGTGCCTCCCTGAAACTTCTTCCCAGCAAGCCGAAAAATGAGGTCTGAGAAGGAGGAAACCTTTGTGCGTCTGCATAGAAGCTGCTTGAAGGGAGAGAAGCCCAGGCAGGGGAGAGAACACCCGAGCGGTGGCATCTGGATGGGTTGAAGCGAACCGCTGAAGTGCTCTGAAAGCCGTGCTCCTGGGGCCAAGAGGAGGCGGCAAGCAGACCGGTCCTGAGGACAGCGAGGGGCGTGCAGCCTGGGCCAGAGCCGGGGTCCACACCTGCACCAGGGACACAGGCTCCAGGGCCCGAGGCTGGACTGGCTTGATGGCTTCCCCGCTACCCTGCCCTTGCCCCAAATAAGGGGAGGGGTCTTGCTGGGGTTCTGGGTAGGTGCCAAGCAGCTATTGTGAAGAAGGGAAATTTCAAGTTTTGACACGTTTTACTGGAGGATGAAAGCGCATCCTGGAGGGGGTATGGGCGCGACCGAGAGGAAGGCCAGGGTGAATGCATCCTGACGAGCCCTCAGGATGGCGCGAAGACTGGGGAGAAGCAGGCCAGGAGGGGGCAGGTTTCCGTATTTGCTCATTTCAAAAGGGTTTGGGTTTTGTGTTTTTAGGCAGTGCTGTGGAAACCCACACAATCCTAAACTGAACTGAAAACAAATGCCCAGAGCATAAAGGAAAAGACAGAAGACACAGCTTTTCAAGTGTTTCTTTGCAATCCTTGATGACGTTTCGGTAGCAGTGGAGACAGTACTGACGAGAGAGAATGGGTACAAGATAGAAAGTGAGACAAAACTTTGAAGTTCAACAGGCCATGTTCTCACTCGAACGAAACATATGACCGCTTCTTAAACGTCCTACAGCATCGCTGGGGGACGTGAACAATTTGCTGTTTCAGTGCAGAAGATGGGGAAACTGTAAATGGAGAGTCTTGGTTTTCTTCGTTTGAGTAGAGGGTCACCAAGGTAGAAATAGGTAAAAATGTGTAAGTCACTACTTCTTAGTCTCTGGTGTTCTCTCATAATGGAGCCACATAAATACCTACTTTCCTCCACATCCCAGGAGAAGGGTGCCAAGGCGTCAGCACCAACTTCTTCCCGATTTTCCGTAAGTAGGTAACAGGCCCGCGCCTGGCCCGCCTCAGATGGAAAAGGCAAGCTAGGGAGACCCGCTCCGGTGCTCTCGCTGTTCACCAGCAGAGGGCGCTGGCACCGGGCTCCGGTCAACCTCAAGGATGTGAAGTTGACAGAACGACAGGAGCCCCAGTGGCAGAGGGACAGGGAAACCGAGTGCAGAAGGCGGCCGGGAGCAGAAGCCTGGGACCCTAACCTCATCCCGAGAAGCTCCACCGACGCAGGGAAGAAAAGGAACGCTGTGACCTGACTGGAGCTCAAAGAAACAGAACAGCACATGCCACAGCTGGCCAGCGTGGTGCGGGAGAGGCCGTCCTACCCCGAAGGTGGAGCAAACCTCCCCCAAGGCTCAGCCCTGCAGCAGTGGGCGCGCAGGGGAGGCTTGCGGCTGACCGGCTCCCAGCGGGAACACGTGCCTCTTCAAGGACAAGGGGTGAAGGGACACGCTCTGCTGCACACACACATTCCAGAAAGAGATACCAGGTGACCGCGAGAGCATTCTTTTTTTAAAAAAATGATGAAAAACGAGCAAATATATACAAAATACTGTCAATCTCTCCTGGGCCAACAGAGCAGCCATCACGATGCGTCTCCTGCCCCCGGAGCCTCCTGCCCCCGGAGCAGGCCTGCGGCACAGCCCAGCCTGTGGGTCTCCGGGGCACTCGTGCCACGGCTCCGTGTGGCTCCCGTCCAGTCTCTCCCTGAAGACTCCCCGCACTGGCAAGGAGTGGAAGCAGACTGCCCTGTCTTCCCGTCCCATCTCCCCACACCCCCCAGAATAATACTGCTTCCGTGGGCATCCCTCGGATTGGGCCCCATCAGAGTTTATGCGCCAGGAGGGTGGTCAGCTTGATCTTGCCATCCATGGAGGCAGTGAGGCATGTCCCACAGTCCATGGCGGTGCTCCAGTCCACAGTGACCACGGGGGCTCGGTGGCCGCCCAGGCTCAAGCAGCTCTCCAGAACCTTCTCATCCCCACCCAGCTGCAAGACAAGAGAGGCGGCGTCAGCAGGCACTGTTCACAAACACAACTACTTTATTCACCAAACTGCCTCGAGCCTGGTGGCTGCTACCCCAATCTGAGGACATGCCCGGGCACACATGCCCACCTTTCCAGAAGATCTCAGTTTAATTTCTTGGGCCAGGAAGCGCCTTCCCTACCTCAACTATAGTTACTCCTTCGTCTCAGTTGGAAAACAAGATCATACGTTCTCAAGGACCAGAGAATTTTCTCTGCCACCTTTAACCGGCACCCCCCACCCAGTTCTTTTCCTACATGGTTTACCGCTCCCCAGCATTAGATCCTGGATCTGCTGCTCGGCTGCCCTTTTGCTTCCCGCAGGAATGCGAGCTGCGGCGCCCAGCACAGTGCTGGCACAGG